CTTGTGTGGAGGCTTGTCTTTGGAGGTTTGGGATTTTGACTTTCTTCTTGTCGAAGAATTTGTCTTTTTTTTAATACTTTGATTAATTATAATCGTGTAAAGGAAGTCGACAGTACTATGGAATCCATATCGAAAGTCGATCATAAAATGGATCTTAAACAGGACATGCGAGATTCCTAGGCTACCTGTGGATTAATAAAGGACAGGTGAAGGCAATTTGATTCTATCCGAATTACTGAGCGAATTGCACGGTCACGTGAATAAAGTATAAAGTATAAAAGCGTAGAAATACAGATATTTATATTTTTCTTACAATCGTATCACCCACTTGTGTGGAGGCTTGTCTTTGGAGGTTTGGGATTTTGACTTTCTTCTTGTCTCCTTTTTGAGAACTTTGGCTCATTTTCTTTTTATTTTCATTATTTACAGCCGCATCACCCACTTGTGTGGGCTACTAGCGACTTGGAATTAAATCTTACAATTTATTGTAAGGGTTAGACTGTGTATTAATTTTAGAACCGACGAACTTCAGGTTGGTTTTATCAGCCAGAGAACGATTTATGTTTAGTCGATGTCTATTCGCGGTTTTATTTCCTACTTTTCTGGACAATAATATGCTCCAGAAAAGGGGAAATTGAACTTGCGCACAAATCACAAGTAGAGAGAGCTTCTCTGTTGAAGAGATAGATGGTAGATGAGTTTTATATGGCCCGTTGTGATACTTGAGATTGCAACTTGGCCGCGTCTCCGTAGAAAGTTGACTTTTCTTTCTCTTCAGCGAGTGTCTTCTCGCCGAAATTATTCACTCGACGTCGGCAAATTTTCAACTGTAAGAGCAAATAGAACGAACTGGAAATACGAAAGGAGGAAGGAAGATTCAAAATATATACCACAGAGTTATTAGCAACTTAATCTACGAAGTTCGAGGCGACTCCGATTGAAAAAAGAAAGAAAAAAAAAAATCGAGGAAGCTACAAAGGAACGAAGTTCAGTTGAGCGAAAACTCGTGCAGATGCTCGAGTTTGTTGTCTAACTGTGTGTTCAAATATCTCGAGGCAGGCTCGGAGAGATCCAGCGAGGTTTGACGAACCGGCGCTCGTTGAAGACCGCTCGCGGAAAAGCCGCTAGACGAGCCAGCAATTTTTCGCGAAATCGCGCGGCTCGTTACGCGCATCGCGAGATTAACGCCACGTAATTAAACGCGCGCCGCGTGCACACACACAGGTCGTGCAGAGGAGTGCAGTCGTGCTCGCCTCGAGAATTCTCCTCTCTTTCGTTCCCTTCCCACTGTGTATTTCTCCGAGGAAATCTAACGCAGATTTCTAAGAAAAAAAAAAAAAAAAAAGAAGAAAGAAAAGAAATAAGAGAGGACGAATCTTCGTTTGAAGAGAGAAATCCAGCGAGGTTTATAAATGTCCCTTTTCACTTTGGAATGGTAACACTTCCTTCCTGAAGTGCCATACAATTCGAAATTTATAAACGCATTGTAGACACGCATAATCGATGATTAGATGTATATACGACAATTACAGACGAAGGACGATTTGTTTTAACCCTTTGCACTTGGAACAATTTTTAATACAATCAGCAACTCCGAGTCATTTTTACTGTCTACCAGCTACTCCAGACTATTTACAAAGGCGCGAAATATTGAAAATCTTGCTCTGTCATTAAAAAACAACGTGAATACATTTTTAAAAATATGTTTCGTTGATACAGTGTAATTAAAAAAATACAATAAATAAAAAAATTTTGAGTTTCTTCATTTTTATGGTAAAGAATGATGATAATTTTAACACAATTATTTATACAAACTAACAGCATAGGCTTCCAAGAAAAACTAAAGGATATTTAAATTCAATATATAAAGTATTCAAGTTGAAAATACAATGTTTCTTTTTGATGTCGCCTCTGCGGCGACAACGGAGTGTAAAGAGTTAACATCGACTCAGTATCCCTGGATTTTTTACTTTTTCGGAAGAGATCGATGTTCAGCGTTTGTGGTTTCAACTGACTGAGATTCGTGCCTCGAAAATTTCCCAGCCAGTGGAGTTTCAGTTTCGCCTGTTCGAAATTATTTCGTTACCGGGAAGTTATACTTTGCAACAAATCGGGCAAAATGTTCGGGAAAGCTGTTCAACTCACTTTGAAACTTGCGCCAAGATCCATGCTCTCGGCGAGCTTGTGAAATTTCCTACATTACGCTAGATACAAGACTCAAAACCAAATTCGTAGACACATAAATAAATAAATATTTGAATAAACGTTGAAAAATATTTTTCCACTGTAAAAATTTAGAAATCTGTCGCCTCGTACCTTCGCCATTGTTTGACAAATTCCCTAGCCTAGGGAATTTATCATCGCTCGGCAAATTCCCTAGGCTAGGGAATTTTGCGAAACGTAAAATGTTAAATATCCGCGTGTTAAATATTCACGAGCTGTGCTTCAATTGTGAGATACAGTGATATGGAAATATGTTCGAAAGTTTCCCAACATTTTCCTTTATTTCTCGGTTTTGCTCGAAGGAGCAGCAGCAGCAGCAGCAGCAGCAGCTCGCGTGCTGCGAGAGGAAATTATTCCATGCATATCTATGGCGAGGGGGGGAGAGGGAAACGTTCGAATCTAACACGCGTTTGCACCGTTAATGGCAATCAACGGTTGTTAATTGCTCGATGATAATTAGTAGCAGCGGGTACTGCAGTAATGGAGAGCACGCCTTAATAATTCCTTTAATGAATCCGAGACAGCGTGCGTGGCTTCTTCCGCGCGAAGGAAGCCAACGAACCACCGTTGCTTCCTTCGACATCCAAAGCTTCCTTAGAAGCTGCTTAGGTTAGAACGCAAGTCCCTTCCTTCGCCAAAATTTTCGAGCACAGAGAGACTGCGTGGCTCATTTAACAAAGTATAGGGAACGAGATTTAAGTTTTAGTGTAAAGCGTAAGAAATAGAGGAGGTTAGAATGTAGTTTCATTCTGTGAAATGGAAGAAATTCTAAATGGAATTTGGGGGATTTTATATTGTGGATATAAGTAGGATACTCTGAAGCTTAAAAAAATATACGAGTAAGGAATAGAGAGTATCTTTATATGTGGATACTTTGAAGTTTAAAAAAATATACAAGTAAGGAATAGAGAAAGAGAAGATTATACGTGGATACTCTGAAGCTTAAAAAAATATACAAGTAAGGAATAGAGAGGATTCTTATACGTGGATACTCTGAAGCTTAAAAAAATATACAAGTAAGGAATAGAGAAAGAGAAAATTGAGAAACTGAGAAATTTGAGCAAATAGAGTTAACTTTGACAGACTTAAAGAGATAGGAAAAAATAAGCAACAGAGCAAGAGAAGATTGAGAAATTGAAAAGTTTAGAGAAATAGAATTGACCTA